GCTCAGAGTCTATATCTGCGACAGGGGCAGAGGCCTCGGACTTTGGAAGCCCTGTAGTCGCCAGAGGGCCAAGATGACAGTGAGGCTGGATTCATGGCCACCATCTTGGGCCCCCAATATCACAATGGAGCGGGAGCCCCAGAACTGCCTTTTTTTTTTTTTTTTTTTTGAGATAGGGTCATATTCTGTCGCCCATGCTAGAGTGCAGTGGCACAATCTTGGCTCACTGCAGCCTCCGCCTCCTGGGCTCAAGTAATCCTCCCGCCTCAGCCCCTTCAAGTAGCTGGTAGTACAGGCGCGAGCCACCATGCCTGGCTAATTTTGTGTTTTCTGTAGAGACAGGGTTCCACCATGTTGCCCAGGCTGTTCTTGAACTCCTGAGCTCAAGCGATCCACCTGCCTCAGCATCCCGAAGTGTTAGGATAACAGGCATGGGCCACCGCGCCCGGCCCAGTACTGCTTTTGATTGCTAGTTTGTTTTAGGCTTCACAGAAATTGAGCATTTGCCTTTACTTCAGGAAAACAATTAAAGGAGTTTTTGGCACGGGAAAATTGGGTCTCCTTTCTAGGCTTCAGAATACTCGACTAGAATTTTTTTTTTTTTTTTTTTTGAGATGGAATTTTGCTCTTGTTGCCCAGGCTGAAGTTGCAATGGTGTGATCTCAGCTCACCTCAACCTCCGCCTCCCAGGTTTAAGCAATTCTCCTGCCTCAGCCCTCCCCAGTAGCTGGGATTACAGGCATGCGAACAACGCCCAGCTAATTTTGCATTTTTAGCAGAGACGGGGTTTCTCCATGTTGGTCAGGCTGGTCTCAAACTCCCCACCTCAGGTGAGCCACTCGCCTCAGCTTCCCAAAGTGCTGGGATTACAGGCGTGAGCCACCGCACCCGTCAACTATAATTATTTTCAACCCTACTACTTGCTAAGCGTTTACTCTGTCCAAGTGCTTTATTTACGTTATCTTGCTTCTCAGACGTCACTGAGAAAAGTGAAATAATCAGTGTTTAGTTAACATACACATTGAGGACGGCATACCAAACACAGCTGTGAAACTAGTGACTTCATGGTGAATGGAGCTTGTGACCTAGTTGGCGGAAAGTCTAGACCATTACATGTCAACAAATAAATACAGTTTAGGCCGGGTGTGGTGGCTTACGCCTGTAATCCCAACACTTTGAGTGGCTGAGGTGGGCAGATCACTTGAGGCCAGGAGTTTGAGACCAGCCTAGGCAACAGGGCAAAACCCTGTCTCCACTAAAAATACAAAAAAATTAGCCGGGCTGTGGTGGCGCACACCTGTGATCCCACCTACTTGGGAGGCTGAGGCATGAGAATCACTTGAACCCGGGAGGCAGAAGTTACAGTGAGCCAAGATCACGCCACTGCACTCCAGCCTGGGAGACAGAATGAGATTCTGTCTCAAAAAAAAAAAAAAAAAAAGACTCTAGGCTCACACTCATCAGGACGACTGCTATAACAAGAAGAAAAAAAAAAAAACAAAAAAAAAAACAGAAAATAACAAGTGTTGACAAGAAAACTGGAACACCTATGTACTGCTGGTGGAAATGGAAAATGGTACAGCTACTGTGGTAAACAGTATGATAGGCCAGGCATGGTGGCTCACACCTGTAATCCCAGCACTTTGGGAGGTTGAGGCGGGCAGATCGCTTGAGGTCAGGAGTTCAAGACCAGCCTGGCCAATATGGCGAAACTCTGTCTCTACTAAAAATACAAAAATTAGCCAGGCGCGGTGGCACACGCCTGTAGTTCCTGCTACTCCAGGGGCTGAGCCAGGAGAATCGCTTGAACCTGGGAGGCAGAGGTTGCAGTGAGCCAAGACCGTGCCATTGCACTCCCGCCTGGGCAACAAGAGCAAAACTCTGTCTCAAAAAAGAAAGAGAAGAGAAGAGAAGAGAGACAAGAAAAGAGTATGATAGCAGTTCCTCAGAAAATTAAAGATAGAATTACTACTATACGATGCTGAAACTCCATTTCTGGGTATATACCCCAGAGAATTGAAAGCAGGGTCTCAAGGAGATCTTTGTACACTTATGTTCATAGCAGTATTATTCACAGTGGATAACAGATGAAAGCAACCCAAGTGTCCACTGACAGATGAATGGATAGGCCAAATGTGGGCTGTACGTACAATAGATTATTCAGCCTTAAAAAGGGAGGAAATTCTGCCCACATGCTGCCACATGGATGAGCTTTGAGGATGTTATGCTAAGTGAAATAAGCCAGTCACAAAAAGACAAAGCAATTCTACTTCCATGAGATTCTTTTTTTTGAGACGGAGTCTTGCTCTGTCACCCAGGCTGGTGTGCAGTGGCATGATCTTGGCTCACTGGAAGCTCCGCCTCCCAGGTTCACTACATTCTCCTGCCTCAGCCTCTCGAGTAGCTGGGACTACAGGCACCTGCTACCACTCCTGGCTAATTTTTTTTTTTTTTTTTTTTTTGGTATTTTTAGTAGAGACGGGGTTTCACCATGTAGCCAGGATGGTCTCAATCTCCTGACCTCACGATCTGCCTGCCTCAGCCTCCCAAAGTGCTGGGATTACAGGCGTGAGCCACCGCGCCTGGCCTTATATGAGATTCTTAGTCAAATCCGTAGAGACAGGAAGTGGAAATGGTAGTTGCCAGGGCTCGGGGGAGTGGTGATAGGTTATTATTTAACGGATATGGAGTTTCTGTTCTACAAGATGAAAAGACCAGCCTGGGCAACATAGCAGGACTCTGTCTCTAAAAAAAAGAAAATCGTTGGCTGGACGCAGTGGTTCATTCCTATAATCCCAGCACTTTGAGAGGCTGAGGCGGGTGGATCACGAGGTCAGGAGATGGAGGCCATCCTGATGAACATGGTGAAACCCTGTCTGTACTAAAATACAAAAAATTAGCCAGGCTTGGTAGTGTGCACCTGTAGTCCCAGCTACTCGGGAGGCTGAGGCAGGGGAATTGCTTGAACCCAGGAGGCGGAGGTTGTAGTGAGCCGAGATCATGCCACTACACTCCAGCGTGGCAACAGAGTGAGAATTCATCTCAAAAAAAAAAAAAAAAAGAAAGAAAGAAAATCACTAAGATGGTAAATGTGGCCAGGCATGGTGCCTCATGCCTGTAATCCCAGCACTTTGGGAGGCCGAGGCAGGCACATCACCTGAGGTCAGGAGTTCAAGACCAGTTTGGCCAACATGGTGAAACCCTGTCCCTACTAAAAATACAAAAATTAGCCAGGTGTGGTGGTGCACACCTGTGATCCTAGCTACTTGGGAGGCTGAGGCAGGAGAATTGCTTGAACACAGGAGGCAGAGGTTGCAGTGAGCCAAGATCTCCAGCCACTGCTCTCCAGCCTGGGCAACAGAGTGAGACTCTGTCTCAAAACAAACAAACAAAGATGGTAAATGTTATGTGTATGTTATCACAGGAAAAAAAAAAAGTTGGAAAATAAAAACAAGGACTCTAGGTCTGGGGCGTGAGCCACAGGTGATGTCATTAAGTGAGACACAAGCCTGAGTAGCAGCAGATGAGAGGAACCTGAGGCCTCTGCTTTGCTCCTGTTCTAGACACCCAAGAAGAGATGTCAAGGAGGACGTCTGGTATTAGGAAGGACAAAGAAACGTGAGGAAAATGGAGTCATGGGCAGGAAGATGACTTCTAGGGAGGGAGGGAGCCCAGAGCAGGGGGAGGACTGAGGACAAATCCCCGGGTCTCCACAACACTGAGAAATGGAGCACGAGTGAGGAGGAGCCAGCACCAGAGGCAGGGGCAGAGCAACCAGTGAGGGGCGGGAGTCTAGGGCAGGGGGCATTTCCAGAAGGACAGAGTGAATGGGCATCTGTGTCTAATGCTGCCAAGGGGTCAACTCAGATGAGGGCAGAGATCTGACCGTGGCATGGCAAGAGCAGCTTTAGGGAGTGCTAGGCAGAGCCTGATTGGAGATGGAAGGGTGGAGTCAGGACAGCCAACGCTTTCAAGGAATTTTGCAATAGAAGGGGAGCAGAGAACTGGGATGATGGAGGTGAGGTGGTATCAGGAGACTGTTTTTTGTTTTTTTTTTGAGACGGAGTCTTGCTGTGTCGCCCAGGGTGGAGTGCAGTGGCCAGATCTCAGCTCACTGCAAGCTCCGCCTCCCAGGTTTACGCCATTCTCCTGCCTCAGCCTCCTGAGTAGCTGGGACTACAGGCGCCCGCCACTACGCCCGGCTAGTTTTTTTTTTGTATTTTTTAGTAGAGACGGGGTTTCACCGTGTTAGCCAGGATGGTCTCGATCTCCTGACCTTGTGATCCACCCGTCTCGGCCTCCCAAAGTGCTGGGATTACAGGCTTGAGCCACCGCGCCCGGCCTGTTTTTTTCTTAAAGAAGGAAGATTAGCCGGCTTTGGTGCACACATCTGTAATCCCAGCACTTTGGGAGGCTGAGATAGGAGGATCATTTGAGCCCAGGGGTTTGAGACCAGCCTGGGCAAGACGAGACCCTGTCTCTACAAAAAATTAAAATATTAGCCAGGCCTGGTGGTGAGCACCTGTAGTCTTAGCCACTTGGGAGGCTGAGGTGGGATTATCCCTTGAGCCCAGGAATTCAAGGTGGCAGTGAGCTGAGATCATGTCACTGCATTCCAGCCTGGGCAACAAAATGAGACCCTATTTCTTTCAAAATAAAAGAGGGAAGATGATAATATATTTACATGCTGATAGGAGTAATCTGGTGGGGAAAGCAAAGTTGATAACTTAGGAAGAGAGAGTGTGTAGTAAGCACAGCGCCTTTGATTGGGAGAAAAGCCTGGCCTGGCAGGAGGCAGAATGGGGACAGCCAGTCCCTCTGAGGAGAGGGAACGGGTGCAAGAGAGCCTGGGGTTGCTGAGTGAATGAGAAGCGGGTGTACAGAAATAAAAGAGGCAGCCAAGGTCCTGCCCTCAATAATGCTTACCTTCTGGTCAGGAGGGCAGACAACAGGCATGAACAAGGCCAAGTGGTGGGACCGGGAGTAACTCACTCAAGACCATGGCTCAGCCGGGCATGGTGGCTCACACTTGCCATCCCAGCACTTTGTGAGGCCAAGGAGGAGGATCACTTGAGGTCAGGAGTTCCAGACCAGCCTGGGCAACATGGTGAAACCCTGTCTCTACAAAAAATACAAAGATTAGGCCGGGTGCAGTGGCTCATGCCTGTAATCCCAGCACTTTGGGAGGCCAAGGCAGACAGATCACCTGAGGTCAGGAGTTCGAGACCAGCCTGGTCAATGTGGCAAAACCCCGTCTCTGCTAAAAATATAAAAATTAGCTGGGCATGGTGGTACATGCCTGTAGTCCCAGCCACTCAGGAGGCTGAAGCAGGAGAATCTCTTGAACCTGGGAGGTGGAGGTTGCAGTGAGCCAAGATCACACCACTGCACTCCAGCCTGGGAAACACAGCAAGACATCATCTCAAAAAAAAAAAAAAAAAAAAAAAAAAAAAAAGCTGGGCGTGGTAGTGCGCAGCTGTAGTCCTAGCTACTCTGGAGGCTGAGGTGGGAGGATCACTTGAGCCTGGAAGGTCAAGGCTACAATCAGCTGAGATCACGCCACCGCACTCCAGCCTGAGTGACAGAGCAAAACCGTGTCTCAAAAAACAACAACAACAACAACAACAACAAGGAAAAAAACCCATGTCACTGGGAGGTAGCAAGTCAAGTGTCAGGGAGGATGTGGGGCAGGAGCACAGTGGGGTGCATGTGAGATTTAGGGTACATCCTCCAAAGGCTCAGAGAGTAAGGGGCAGTCTGAGGATCTCTGGAGAGGGGATGGCAGGGAGGAGCTTTGTGGGACACTCTGGCCTGCTAGAGGCCTCCTGGATCCCCTCCCCTATCCCCAGGAGGTGAGGGACATTGGAGAGAGGCGGGAGCCGGACCGTGTGCAGCAGCAGCCTCAGAAGCCCGTGGTGGCTGCAGGGACACAGAACCTCAGGAAATTCCGGCAGGGCTTCATGAAGTGCTTGCTGGAGGTGGAGAAAGTGGAAGCCTCCCATCGGAGAGCCTTGAAGGCCCGGTCCCTGACAGCCCAGAAGTCCCCCAGGACCCCAACCCCAGTGCCCACCTCATCCCCAAGCCTGCCTCAGACCCCTGCCTCGGCCCCTGCCAGTGGCCCATCGTGGGCCAGGCTGTCAGCTCCTGGGCCAGAGCCTGCCCCCGTGGGAGCCCCGGTCCCCACCTCCACGCCTTGCCCTGTCCTGCTGTGCCCCGCCCTGGACCCGGGCTGGAGAAGGATGGAGCTCTTGCACCACAGCAGCGAGAGAACCCTGAGCTACGCCAAGGCACGGTAGGAGCCCCCGCTGCCCACCTGCCCGCTCCTGAAAGGCCCCAAGATCAGAGCCTTGTCCCGGATGCAGGTCCCTGTCCCTGTACCTGCCTGTTCCCTCATGTGTCCCCCACTCTCCATTTCTCCTCACGTGTCTCCTCTCCGCATCTCCCATGTCTCTGCCTCCTCTCCCATTTCTGACCCCTTTTCCAACTCCCCCGAAGGGGTCTCCCTCTAGCCCCCCTCTCCTCTATCCCACTCCTCCTCTGGGTCTCCTTTTTCCGGCCATTCTTGATCCCTCCTGACTTCCCAAAGCCTCCCCAACGACCTCCTCCTGCAGGCTTCCCCAACCCCTCCCCTAGCTATCAGCAGGGTGGGCGGCCGGATGTTGCCCTGGGCCGGGGTTCTGTCCTCTGCAGGCAGGAGCCGGAAGAGCAGAGCCTCCAAAAGCTGTATCAAAACCGGGAAAAGTCCGAGGAGCAACTGACCCTGAAGCAAGAGGAAGGTGAGGGCAGGGAGGACAGGGAGGTCCCAGCACAGGCAGGACCCTTGGTCCTTGGGGGTTTATAGGTGCAGGGCAGACTGGGGTGTTTTCCAGATCACACGGCTGCTGCCATGCCCACCACAGCCCCGTGTAGCAGATCCAGCAGGGGTTTTCTCCACTTGGCCTGTGGGGCAGGGCAGGGTAAGGGGTTGGCCCCAGCTCACAAAGCTGCTGGGTTGGCGGAGCCAGAACTCATGCTGGGTCAATTTTTTTTTTTTTTTTTTTGAGAAAGAATCTCACTCTGTCGCTCAGGCTGGAGTGCAGTGGCACGATCTCGGCTCACTGCAACATCTGCCTCCAGGGTTTGAACGATTCTCCTACCTCAGCCTCCTGAATAGCTGGGATTACAGGTGTGTGACACCACGCCCAGCTAATTTTTGTATTTTTAGTAGAAACGAAGTTTCACCATATTGGCCAGGCTGGTCTCAAACTCCTGAACTCAACTTATCTACCCACCTCGGCCTCCCAAAATCTGGAATTACAGGTGTGAGCTACCGCGCCCGGCCTTGTGCTAGGTCTTCTGACTCGAAGTCCAGCGCTCTCCCTGTGCCAGAGCTGCCTCCCTGAGAGAATGACAGAAGCCTTGCAGAGTGCTTTAGGTTTTGGAATAGTTTCTGCTTCCCTTAACCCAAGCCTGCTCCATGGTCCTCTTCAGAGCACCCTGGATGGGAGACAGGGCTCCAGGAACCCTGCCCATCCTAGACAGTCCCTCATCATTAAACAAGGCCACCAGTCTAAGCATGTCCCCCATTCCCACCGCATCTCACCTTCACCAAAAAGTTAAAAAGTTCTGAATGCCTACCCTGCTCTCTAGTGTCCTCAGGACGGGGTCCTGTGACCCCACCCCCATCACCCTGGCCCTAGAAGAATGGATGCACATCCTCCTTCCATCCCCCACTCCTCCCCAAAGCCTGCAACCCTCTTGGCCAAAATGGTCCCTTCCTCTGTCTTCCCTGGATGCTCTCACTGGCTCCCTGTGACCCCATCCTTTAAGTCCACCCCTTTTAGTATTAAAACCCTCTACCATGGCTGGGCACAGTGGCTCATGCCTATAATCCCAGCACTTTGGGAGCCTGAGGCAGGAGGATCGCTTGAGGCCAGGAGTTCAAGACTAGCCTAAGCAACATAGTAAGACCCCCATATCTACAAAAAATTTAAAAATTAGCCATACATAGTGGCATGAGCCTGTAGTCCCAGCTACCCAGGAGCCTGAGGTGGGAGGATCACTTGAGCTCAGGAGTTTGAGGTTATGGTGGGCTATGATTATGCTACTACACTCCAGCCTGGGCGACAGAGCAAGACCCTCTCTTAAAAATAAAATAATATACAACTCCAGCCGGGCGCGGTGGCTCATACCTGTAATCCCCACACTTTGGGAGGCTTAGGTGGGTGGATCACGAGGTCAAGAGTTCGAGACCAGCCTGACCAACATGGTGAAACCCCATCTCTACTAAAAATACAAAAATTAGCCGGGTGTGGTGGTGCGTGCCTGTAATCCCAGCTACTCAGGAGGCTGAGGCATGAGAATCGCTTGAACCGGGGAAGTGGAGGTTGCAGTGAGCTGAGATCGCGCCACTGCACTCCAACCTGGGCAACAGAGCGAGACTCTGTCTCAAAAATAGTAATAATAATAATAATAATATACAACTCCCTAGCCACCTTCCTAAGTGCAGCTCTCCCTGCCCACCTCCTTGAGCAGTTCATGAACAATGTGCCACTTTGACTCAGAGACTCAGGGTCCCACAACTCCCAATCCCTGTCTGGTAATAAAGGGCCGACTGCCCTGCTCTGATGGCTCAAACCATGAGGCATCCTGAGTGATCACACCTGCTTCTGAGAGTTGCTCTGGTTTTTCCTTCTGTGATGTGCCTGCCCACGACAGGTTACCACATGCCCCAACACCAGTCCTAGCCCCACCTCTTCCCCACCATTCAGCGCTGTTTGTCAGAGACTTCCAGGCTAACAGAGGCTATTGTGTGCCAGGCACTGAGTTCTTACAATACCTCCAAGAGGGTGCGCTGTTGTTACGGCCATCGTACAGATATGGAAATGGAGGCTGATGGAAGTGCAGCAACTTGCCCATGCCCAGCGTCCTAGTCAGAGCGGGCTGTCATAACAGAGGACCACAGACTGGATGGCTGAAACAGCAGATATTTCTTTCGTCACAGTTCTGGAGGCTGGAAGTCCAAGATCAGGGTGTCGGCAGGTTGCTTTCTTCTGTGGCCTCCCTGCTTGGCTTGCAGACAGCTGTCTTCTCATTGTCCTCACATGGTCTTTCCTCTGTGAATGGGCAACCCTGGTATCTCTGTGTGTGTCCAAATTTGCATTATTTGTTTATTTACTTATTTGAGGCAGGGCCTTGCTCTGTCACCCAGGCTGGAGTGCAGTAGTGTGATCCTACCTCACTGCAGCCTCTACCTCTGGGGCTCAAGTATTCCTTCCACCTCAGCTTCCTGAGTAGCTGGGACTACAAGCATGTGCCACTGTGCCTGGCTAATTTCTAAAATTTTCTATAGAGACAGAGTTTTTCTTTTTTTTTTTTTGTTTGAGACGGAGTCTCGCTCTGTCGCCCAGGCTGGAGTGCAGTGGCTGGATCTCAGCTCACTGCAAGCTCCGCCTCCCGGGTTCACACCATTCTCCTGCCTCAGCCTCCCGAGTAGCTGGGACTACAAGCACCCGCCACCTCGCCCAGCTAGTTTTTTGTATTTTTTAGTAGAGACGGGGTTTCACCGTGTTAGCCAGGATGGTCTCGATTTCCTGACCTCGTGATCCGCCCGTCTCGGCCTCCCAAAGTGCTGGGATTACAGGCTTGAGCCACCGCGCCCGGCCTAGAGACGGAGTTTCTTATGTTGCTCAGGCTGGTCTCAGACTCCTGGGCTCAAGTGATTCTACTGCCTCAGCTTCCCGAAGTGCTGGGTGGATGGTGTTAGCCATCGCACTTAGCCCAAATTTCCTTTTTGCATGAGGTCTCCAGTTGGATTGGATTGGATTAGGGCACACACTAAAGGCCTCTTTTTAACTTAATCACCTCTTTGAAGGCCCTATCTTCAAACACAGGCAGATTCAGAAGTACTGGGGGTTAGGGCTTCAACATAAGAGCAATCCAGCTTATTAAATGGCAGAGCCAGGCCGGGCACAGTGGCTCATGTGTGTAACTCCAGCACTTTGGGGGACTGAGGCAGGAGGATTGCTTGAGCCTAGGATTTCAAGACCACCCTGGGCAACATAGGGAGACCCCATCTCTACTAAAAATAAAAATTAAAAAAAAAAAAAAGCTGGGCATGGTGGTGTGCACCTGTCATCCGAGCTACTGGGGAGGCGCAGATAGTAGGATCCCTTGAGCCCAGGAGATCCAGGAAGCAGTGAGCCATGATCACACCACTGCACTCCAGTTGGATCAAGAGAGTAAGACCCTCTATTGACTCCAACCCAGATTTTGCCATGGGGCTGAGAAACCTGACACCACACAATCTGACTAGTACACGGCCTTTGTATCACTTGGTGCTGCTCTGGGGTGTTCTCAGACCCTTCCCATCCTCTGGTCTGGTCCACACAATGCAGCAATCCTTTCGACGGCGTTCATCCAGATTGACCAAGGACCAGATCGACCAAGGACCAGGGCGCAGACTTAGTTAGAAAAACTGTCCAGTCATCTAACCTCTGAGCCTCAGTTACATCGTTCTGAGGCTCCCCATCGTTACAATGGGAATAAGCACTCTACTCTTGAGAACATGGCTATAAAGAGTCTAGTCCAGTGTCTGGCACACAGTAGGGTGCCCTAAAGTGGGTGGGCCACTGGCGCTGAGTGAAGGCCACTAATTAGCTGAGCTGTTGGCACCCAAACTAAACCCTTGGCCTGGATTTGGAATAGACAGCAGAGTGAGTCAACAGGATCACAGCCCTTTCTTTTCTTTTTTCTTTTTCTTTCTCTTTCCTCCCTCTCTCCTTCCCTCCCTCTCTCTTTCTCTCTTTTTTTTTTTTTTGGAGTCTCGCTCTGTCACCCAGGCTGGAGTACGGTGGCGCAATCTCAGCACACTGCAACCTCCGCCTCCCGGGTTCATGCGATTCTCCTGCCTCAGCCTCCCAAGTAGCTGGGACAACAGGCATGCACCACCACGCCCAGCTAAGTTTTGTATTTTTAGTAGAGACAGGGTTTCACCATGTTGGCCAGGCTGGTGATCTGCCTGCCTCGGCCTCCCAAAATGTTGGGATTACAGGCGTGAGCCAACGCATCCGGCTCTTTTATTTTCACTTTTGATGGTGGAGGCGGCTGGCAGGAGGGCGGTTGGGGTGATGGGATGAACGAGAGAAACAAGAAACGCCCCCACCCCACATAACCCTGCCCTCCCCACAGCCTTCCGCAGCTACTTTGAGATCTTCAATGGCCCTGGTGAGGTGGATGCACAGAGCCTGAAGAACATCCTGCTCCTAATGGGCTTCTCTGTGACGCCGGCCCAGGTGGAGGATGCCCTGATGAGTGCTGATGTCAATGGTGAGTAGCAGAGGGCTCCACTCTGCGTCCCAAGCAGGGCCTGCTTCACTGGCTTGAAGCCTGTGCAGTTGCATGAGGCTCTGCACCTAAAGGATCCCGTGCTTGGTTTAATGCTCTGCTGTCACAGTCTAGAAATGCCTTTGTTGTTCTTGTTGTTTGAGACGAGGTCTGGCTCTGTTGCTCAGGCTGAGTGTAAAGCTGTGATCCCTGCTCACCACAGCCTCAACCTCCTAGGCTCAAGCAATCCTGCCACCTCAGACTCCTGAGTCTGAGGGACTATAGGCGCACTACCGCGCCTGGCTAATTTTTTATTTTTTGTAGAGGTAGGGTCTTTGTTGCCCAGGCTGGTCTCAAACTCCTGGACTCCAGGAATCTGCCTGCCTCAGCCTCTCAAAGTGCTGGGATTTCAGGTGTGAGCCACTGCGCCCAACATCATATAAATTCTTAACAATTTTTTTTTTTTTTTTTTGCTTTTTTTGTTTGTTTGTTTTTGCAACACAGTCTTGCTTTGTCGCCCAGGCTGGAGTGCAGTGGCACCATCTTGGCTCACTGCAACCTCTGCCTCCCAGGTTCAAGCGATTCTCCTGCCTCAGCCTCCCGAATATCTGGGATTACAGGTGTGCGCCAACACTCCTAGCTAATTTTTGTATTTTTAGTACAGATGGGGTTTCACCATGTTGGCCAGGCTGGTCTCAAACTCCTGACCTCAGGTGATCCACGCACCTCGCCTCCCAAAGTGCTACGATTACAGGTGTGAGCACTTTCAGCTTCCACTTTCCTGTGTGCCCCATGTTGTCTGCATTGAGTATGCACTGCTTGATAATCAGACCCAGAGAGTAACTTCTAATAACCACGCCTGGGCTGCAAGGCATGGACCTGTTCCGAAGGTCCCTGCCCACCCACTTACTCCTCTGGCCTCCACAGGAGATGGTCATGTGGATTTCAAAGACTTCTTGGCTGTGATGACAGACACCAGGCGCTTCTTCTGCTCTGTGGGTGAGCAGGGATGAGCCCAGGGTAGTCAGAACTGGAGGAGGAGCTGCTGGGAGGCTGCTTGTGGGGAAAGGAGAGGGCATTCAGGACTTCCCTGTGGTAATGGCAGCCACTATCCCTTGTCTCCAGAACAGAACGCCCTGACGGACATGGCTCCCCACAACCCCCACACTCTGCTCTTTGAGATCCTGTCCCTGCTGGTAGAGATGCTGGCCTTACCAGAGGCAGTCTTAGAGGAAATCACAAAGTGAGTGGGGCTGGTTGTTGGGGATGAAGGGTTGTGGACACAGAGGTGGCATCTAGCATTTTGGCACTGAGAACTTTTGGTAGTTATGACTTCTAGTCACAAGTGAAAGAAACTGGAGGCTGAAGCACGAGAATCGCTTGAACCCAGGAGGTGGAGGTTGCAGTGAGCTGAGACTGCACCACTGCACTTCAGCATGAGTGACAGAATGAGACTCTGTCTCAAAAAAAAAACAAAAAAAAAAAAAAAAAAAAGTGAAAGAAACTAGAATAAAACTGGCTGAAGCAAAAGGGGAATGTATGGCTCAAATCACTGGTTGGGGCCTCAGGACTGGCGGGATCCCAGAGACCAAATGATACCAGTAAGGCTTTCTCTCTCCACCTATCCATGTCTATGCATTGGCTTTGAGCTCAGCTAGGCTCTCCCTACAGAGGGAGGGATTCCCATGGAGCTGGCGGCCCCATGCTCACACCCTCCTAGTGCAGCAAGAGGAATTCTTCCCTGCAGCACCCATCAAGCAGTCCCAGGAAAGGAATTTGATGGACCCTACCTGGGCCAGAAGACACAAAAGCCTCCACGTGTCTCCAGGGCAGGTGGGTGGATAGGTAGTGGTTCATCTAAGAAAGAGATAGCCATAGGTGAAACAACATGAACATTCCAGGGTTAGAAGCAAAGGGTGAAGGCAGAACAGTCCAGCTGATCTTCAAATAGCAGTTTTAGGCCCTCACGCTTCAGAGGAGCCTGAGCCTTCATTTCCTGTCTTTGAAATGAACATATTTTAATGCTTGTTGCTCAGTAAATGCTAGCTTTCAACAGAGGTGAAAGCCTGTCGCCCAGGCTGGAGTGTTAGTGATACAATCACGACTCACTACAGCCTCGACCCCCTAGGCTCAATCAATCCTCCCACCTCGGTTTCCCTAGTAGCTGGGATTACAGGCGCATGCCACCATGTGTGGCTTCCCAAAGTGCTGGGATTACAGGCATGAGCCACCATGTCCAGCCAAAAGGCACTTTGTTGCTGGGCAAGGTGGTGTGTGCCTGTAGTCTAGCTACTCAGGAGGCTAAAGGGGAAGGACTGCTTGAGCCTGGGAGTTCGAGACTGCAGTCAGCTATGATGGCACCACTGCACTCCAGCCTCGGTGACAGAGTGAAAGTCCATCTCTTAAAAAAAAGAAAAGCAAAGCCAGGCGTGGTGGCTCACGCCTGTAATCCCAGCACTTTGGGAGGCCGCAGCGGGCGAATCACAAGGTCAGGAGACCAAGACCATCCTGGCTAACACAGTGAAACCTCATCTCTACTAAAAATACAAAAAGTTAGCTGGGCGTGGTGGCGGGCGCTTGTAATCCCAGCTACTCAGGAGGCTGAGGCAGAAGAATCACTTGAACCCGGGAGGCAGAGGTTGCAGTGAGCCGAGATTGCACCACTGCACTCCAGCCTGGGGGACAGAATGAGATTCTGTCTCAAAAAAAAAAAAAAAAAAAAAAAAGGAAGAAAGGAGGGAAGGAGGGAAGGAGGGAAGGAGGGAAGGAGGGAAGGAGGGAAGGAGGGAAGGAAGGAAGGAAGGAAGGAAGGAAGGAAGGAAGGAAGGAAGGAAGGAAGGAAAGGGGAATTTGGAGTTCTGTCTGTGCCTCTTACTAGTTCAGTAGCCTTGGGCAAATTGCTTTCTCTCGATTCAGTTTCTTCATCTGTAAAATAAGGGCATGTTTCCTCAACTCTTCAATGCAAGTGATGGAAGGATATGAGGACAGGAGCGTATCTCACAGAATTGAGCCTATAGGAACCAGGCTTTCAGCCTGCTGGGGTCTCCTCTCAGTGCATCACACAAAGGCTTGTCCTTGCCAATCAGTAAGTTGGACTAATTTTTTTCCTACCACAGCCTAGGCCTTTTCCACATGGGCCAGAGAAAGGGGAATGAGTTCAGCCTGTTCCAGCAAGAACAATTTAGCAACTCCAAAGACAAGAGATTTTTTCCAGCTGGGCACAGTGGCTCATGCCTGTAATTCCAGCACTGTGGAGGCTGAGGCAGGTGGGTCACCTGAGGTCAGGAGTTCGAAACCAGCCTAGCCAACATGGTGATACCCTGTCTCTACTACTAATACAAAAATTAGCCGGGCATGGCGGTGGGTGCCTGTAATCCCAGCTACTCAGGAGGCTAAGGCAGGAGAGAATCATTTGAACTCAGGAGGCGGAGGTTACAGTCAGCTGAGATCACGCCAGTGCACTCCAGCCTGGGCAACAAGAGCAAAACTCTGCATACAATACAGTACAATACAATTCGATTGTTTGTAACATAAAGGATAAATGCTTCAGGGGATGGTTACCCTTGAAGTCTCACTCACTCTATTGCCTAAACTGGAGTATCCATTGTGAAAATATATATATATATTTTTATATATAGCAATTCTCCTGCTTCAGCCTCCCAAGCAATTCTCCTGCTTCAGCCTCCCAAGTAGCTGGGATTACAGGCACCCGCCACCATGCCTGGCTAATTTTTGTATTTTTAATAGAGACAGTGTTTCTCCATGTTGACCAGGCTGGTCTTGAACTCCTGACCTCAGGTGATCCACCTGCCTCGGCCTCCCATGGTGCTGGGATTACAGGTGTGAGCCACCATGCTCGGCCTCTTTTACTTTTAGATATACAATTAAATTATTATTGACTATAGTCACCTTGTTGTGCTAATAGTTGATCTTATTCATTCTTTCTGTTTCTTTGGTACCCACTCAGCATATTTTTATTATTTTACTTTATTTTAATTTTTGAGATTGAGTTTTGCTCTTGTTGCCCAGGCTGGAGTGCAATGCCACAATCTCGGCTCACCGCAACCTCCGCCTCCCAGGTTCAAGCAATTGTCCTGCCTCAGCCTCCCAAGTAGCTGAGATTACAGGCATGTGCCACCATGCCTGGCTAATTTTGTATTTTTAGTAGAGATGGGGTTTCACTATGTTGGTCAGGCTGGTCTCAAACTCCTGACCTCAGGTGATCCGCCCACCTTGGCCTCCCAAAGTGCTGGGATTACAGGTATGACCCAATGTGCCTGGCTTTTTTTTTTTTTTTTTTTTTTTTTTTGAGACAGAGTCTTGCTCCACTGCCCAGGCTGGAGTGCAGTGGCACAATCTTGACTCACTGCAACCTCTCCCTCCTGGGTTCAAGCAATTCTTCTGCTTCAGTCTCTGGAGTAGCTGGGACTACATGGGCACACCACCATGCCAGGCTAATTTTTGTATTTTTAGTAGAGATGGGGTTTTACAGGCTGGTCTCAGATTCCTGACGTCAACCTATCTGCCCACCTCAGCCTCCCAAAGTTCTGGGGTTCACTTTTCTTTGATTATTTATTATTATTTTTTCAGACGGAGTCTCGCTGTGTCACTCAGGTTGGAGTGCAATGGCGCGATCTTGGCACACTGCAACCTCCGCCTCTGGGTTCAAGAGATTCTCCTGCCTCAGCCTCCCAAGTAGCTGGGATTACAGGCACCCACCACCATGCCTGGCTAATTTTTCTATTTTTAGTAGAGACAGGGTTTTACCATGTTGGCCAGGCTGGTCTTGACTTCCTGTCCTCAGGTGATCCACCCACCTCAACTTCCCGATGTGCTGGAATTACAGGCGTGAGTCACTGTGCCCGGCCTCTTCAATTATTTTTTCATTCTGTTCCTCAGACTTGATTATTCCATTGTCCTATCATCAAGTTCACAGATTCTTCTGCCTGCTCAAATGTACCTTGAATCCCTCTAGTAAAATTTTCATTTCAATTATTATACTTTCCAACTCCAGACTGAAAAGTAATTACTCCACTGTCCTATCTTCAAGTTCACTGATTCTTCTGCCTGCTCCAATCTGCCTTGAATCCCTCTAATGAAACTTTCATTTGAGTTACTGTACTTTCCAACTCCACAATCTTTTTGGTTTCTTGTTTGGATTTTTTTTAATCTCTTTTGTACTTCCATCTTGATCATATATTGTTTTCTTGACTTTCTCCAAGTCTTCCTTTAGTTCTCTGAGCATCTTTTAAGAGAGTTGTTTTATAAAGATTTTGTCTAGAAGATCTGCTGTCAGGTACTTTTCAGGGACTGTTTCTGTTTTTTTCCTTTAAATGGCCATGCTTTCCTGTTTCTTTGAATGACTATGATTTTTTGCTGAAAACTGGACATTTGAATCTAATAATGTGGTAACTATGAAAATAAGATTCTCCCCCTTCCTCAGAGTTTGCTGGGTTTTGTTACCGTTTGCTTATTTATTTTTGTTATTGTTGTTGTTGCAGACTGTCTCTGTGCCAAAGAGCAGTCTAAGGCATACATTTAAGGTCTTCTCAGGTTTTTCTGAACCTGTGCCTTTCCCTAGAAACTGGGGTTGCTTTCTAACTTCCCCCCATATATGCGGTTGCTTTTGAATGTCTTAATCTTTAATGTCTGCCTCTGAAAAGGGTGAAAAGAGAAAAATGAAGTGGGGAACAGGGCACTGGCCCTTTACATTTCCTAGAAGTCACTTCAGCTGGAAGGGGGCATGGCTTACCAAAAACAAACAAACAAAAAATACACACAGGGGCAAGGGCTTGCAACAATGTGAGGAGGTGCAACAGCCCCTCACTGCACCTTTGCAAAGCCCATCGCTTTGCACCTTTGTTTTCAGAAGCAGCCGTTTGTGATCAGAGCACAATTCCCAGTATTTTGGAGGACAGGGTCCTTTTTGCCTACCCTGGCTCCAGCAAGCCAAGCTGCTCCTGGAATCCATGCACATCTGCCTCCCAGGGGCTGGAAATGGAAGATAAATAGCTGATATTGTGCTAAAAGCTTAACTTGACCAAAATTAAGTGCAATTTGCAATCCAAACCTTCCTCTGGATGGTGCAAGACTCCAGAGTTCTAAAATAGTATGACAGATTCTGCCAGCGCAATTGTTGTGTAGGTTTGAAGACAGATTCCTGGTGCTTCCCACTCCACCATCTTCCCCTAATATGATCTTAAGTCCATCCAGTGAATTTTTCACTTTGGGTATTGCTGTTCT